TCTCTCTCTCTCTCTCTCTCTCTCTCTCTCTCTCTCTCTCTCTCTCTGTGTGTGTGTGTGTGTGTACATATATAGTAGTAAAGCAATTATGTACATGTGTATAGATGTATTCACTATTGCAGTGCTGAAAATAGAACCCATAGCCTAACACATTAAGTTGGGCGTGATAGTGCACACCTGAAATCTTAAGACTTGGGAAGTACAAGCAGGACAATCAAGAGTTCATACCCAACATTAGCTCTATAGCAACTTCAAGGCAAGCCTGGGCTACATGAGATAAAGACAAAACAAAACTCTCGAATCAAATAAACTTCAATTTTTTTCTAAAACTGGTATCACTTCAGCTTTGGTCCTCAGGAGTACTAAGTGGTCTTTCAGGGTATTTCAGAGCTGTGTGAACAGCCTGTACTTGGCCTCTGCTAACAAGAATGTTATCTTTTGAAAACCTTCCAGTGTGGTTCAGCTTTGAATACAGGATCTAGCAACAAAATTCTCCCCGGCTTCATAATGACTTCGGGTGGAAACTCTCTAAGGATAAAATCTATCGTGTGCCAATGAATTTTAACTGAATGGCATCCAACAAGTATTTACTGAGCTTGACGCTATGGCAAACAAAGCCCTGGAGAGGACTAAGGTTTCTGAGCCTCTCAGGGGAGAAGTATTGTATGATGGGACCGTCTTCCCTGGACGAGAACTAGAAGATATCTCAAGGGTGAGTTCACCAGTGTGATGGTGGGAGGTGGCCAGAGAGGGAGGGAGGAAGGGGAGAGGGAGGCAAGAGGGGGGAAGGGGGAAGGGAGGTCAGGGAGGGAGGGAAGGAGAGAAATTTAGGTCTCTAAAGAAGAGTCAATTCTGTCTCATGACTGAAAGGTAGAAACCGGCCTGTAGGTCTGTCCTGTGGAGAGTGGAATAAAGACTGCACCCCTGCCATCTTGCAGCTTGAAAGATGGAGAACCAGATGTGTCAGAGCCGGTGCAACAGGTACGCCTAGATAACCTATATCTGCACTTCCCAGTATCTGAGGCAAACAAAGCCCTCTTCCTTGCTTATGCCAGCCTGGTAAAGACCTTGCAACTTGCAGTTGAATGCACCTTTTTTTTTTTTTAACACGTGGAGAGAACCCCAGTTGCTGTTGCATTAAGCAATAGAATGGCCTCTTGTAGGCCACTAAGGAAAAGTTGCCCAGGAGAGGAGGGAGGTAAGACCCTGGGCACATGACTGCCTTCCTCCACAGCTCTTTTTAATTAGTCAGTTGATGGAGCCTAGATGGTCATGTCAACCGGGCAACAACTCCATTCGAACTCAGGGAAGCTAAATTTCTCTGCATCTGAACTGAGAGCTGGGGGGAAGGGTGTCAAGGCATGCCATTGCTAGGGATGACAGGAAGCAGGCCAGAAGTCATTTCAAACTACAAATGATGGCTTTAAAATAGGAGCGCAGTCTAAAATCATGGAATGCTAATATAAATGGTACGCCTCAATTTATAGTCCAGAGGTGTCTGGCTTAGCACCTGGCTCATAAATAAAAATTAGGATCTGATTGTTTTCCCCCACACTTTTCCTTAATTCTTCGCTTTGTTCGCTCAATCATTTATTCATTAATTTATTCATTCGACAAACATTTATTAAACATATAAGGACCAAATAAAAGTTCTTGCCCTTCAAAAGCCCCAAATTTAAGATCAAGAAAGGTAGTTCAGTAAGGAAAACGTTCTTGTTATACAAGCCCGACGGCATGACGTCAGATCCCAGCCATCTGTGTGCAAAGCCCTGCGGGGGGGCACACATCTGTAATCTCAGTACTGGGGAGGCTCACTGCTCCGCTAGTGAGCTGGAGGTTCACTCAAAAACAAAAGGTCGAGAGCAATCAAAGAGGACTCCTAACTTTGACATCTGACTTTCACACACATGTATACGTATGTACACGAACACACATTATAGGTCAGGGGGCGCACAGGATGTTACCCCAGTGCTGGGATCCAAACTCCGGTCCTCATGATTGAGCTGCCAGGTCTCTTAATCTCTAGGCCATCTCTCCAGACTCCCCCGAATCCTGAGTCTGTTTTCAGAAGAAGTTTTCTGTGAGCTCAGACGTGGGTGAGCAAGAGTTAACAGAGAGGAAAGAGAGTCCTGGGCGGAGGAGGCACACTCTACAGAACCCCATCAAGGTGGAGTTTGACAGGCAGGAGGAAATGGACCTCAGGAGATAAGATAGAGAATAGCAGAAGAAGAGGCCAAGGGGGAAAGTGAGCAGGTCAGGACCCCACAGGGATAGATACGTTATAGATGGGTTTGCTGGCGGTAGCTGTTGCTGCCTCCTCCCCTTCTCCTCCCCTCTTCCTTCTCCTCCTGCCCTCCTCCTCCTCTTCCTCTTCCCACCCGCCTCTCCTCCTGGCTGTCTGAAGCTCTTAAACCGAAGAAGAACTGCGTTTCCTCCCACACGCCCTGGGCTCTTGGGTTCCTACTGTAACCCTCACAAAGCTTTGCCGCAGATTCATCGGTGGGCCAGCCAAAGGTATCAGGGTATCTTCTTGTCTCTCGTGGGCCTATAATTCTTCTCAATAAAGACAGGCACACTGGCACACTTTAATAACTGTCAGGTCTAATTATGAACAGCCTGTACCCTTTAGACTTGCAAGGGAAGCCCTTTCCACTGCGGAGGCCGCTCTGCTACCGTCTGAATGGCATCCTGTGAAACCAAGTGCTAGACAAAGAGCCAGGAAGAGATGTAAATAATAGCAAGAGGTGATGATAGCTGCACATAATACAATCTCCGAAGAGCAGGAGCCGGAGCCCGGTAGGTACCATTGCACTGAGTGCCGCATCTTTTTCAGACCCCATTGAATATGTCATTTTCCATAGTCTGGATGTCAAGCTGTGACCTGAATTTCCAAAGCACATCGCCTGGCCCATCAGCCCATAGCTTAGAGCAGGGCAGGAATTTAAGCATGGAAAGTGGGGCTCACACAGCCGGTTCTTTAGGTCGGGAAGATGCCTTGGGGTTTGGGTGCAGCTAAAGAGCTTTCTTTTTCATTACTGTGTTCTTAGTTATAAGAGGAGGTTTATCCATAACCGCATGCACACCCATACACTACATACAAAACAGGCTTTCCAGCGGGGGGGATGTCTTAGAAAGCAAAGCTCTTGAAGGATGTTTTAATTGAGAAGACAGGCTAACCCACAGTGTTACAGGCAAGAATGCAAGACTAAGAAACGCTACACTAGAGACACGAGGATTCTTCAGGAATCTCGGATTTTTCTCTAGGGAAAGAAGGAACCAAGGTCAAATGGAAAAGCATGGGAAAAACTCAAACATGCCTCTGTGTTAAACTGCAGCAGCATTTGAAGGAATGCCTGGCTACTCAGCTGGAAGGAGACGGAGGAAATAAAATCCCTTTCCAGAAATCATGGAAATAGCCATGTGGTTTTCAATGACAAATGACAATTTGGTTCTTGCCTCAAACTTGAAAGATCCGGGAGGCTAATTTCCTAGATTTTCTTAATATTCCACCTGGACATTGCCAATGGCAAGGAGGCTCCTTGGGAACAACTCAGGCAGGCTATGATGTTAACAGGTGAGCCAGCAGGTCACTAAGTAAGCAGCTTAACTCTACATCCTCTCATCCAGTGGAGAAGAAGGCAGGTTTTTCTGACTGACTGAGAAGGGGTGAATACATGATTTCCTCTTACTACCAAGCACCACAGTCTGCAAGTCTGCTACCCCTAGTCTAGGCATCATGCTCTCTCTCTCTCTCTCTCTCTCTCTCTCTCTCTCTCTCTCTCTCTCCAGTCTGTTTTTAATTTCATCAAAATACTTCCTTGATGCTTTTAACCAAGGATGTTAACATCTTGGGATTCAGGATTTATCCTCTCTAAGTAGCAGTGGGAACAAGGCTGACTTGCAGGTTCCATTTCTCAATGGGCACCTGCTAGGCAAGTCGGGGCTGTTCTTTCTTTCCTTGATTGGACCTCACACCATGCATAAGGTTTCTTAGCTCAGCATCCATTCCTGTGAAGAGTTAACTAGTTCATAACAAATTTTACTTAGTCTGCATGACTTCGGATGAGTTATCTTGTCACGTCTCCAGGCCCTTGGTCCAGTCCGGGCCCATTATAGCATCCTAAAATCTTCTTCAGGGTGGGTGGGTTAAGGATGAGTGTGTCGTGGTCATTGACGCTGAAGGTTCCTGTTTCCGTTTGATTGTGGCTCTCTGTGTCAAACAATAATAAAACATTTACTGAGCCAAGTAAGTAAGTAAGTAGCTTTTCCTTTTGTTCACAAACAAAATTAAGATTAAAAATGAATGTGAATAAACCAATAGCTCCTCATGCTCAATAACTGGGTAAGACTTGCTTATAAATAGAAAATTTGGCTTAGATGGGGACCACTTGAATTCAAGACATAAAATCTCTGTGAATCATTTTAATACAAAAGAGACTTGTTTTTTTTCATCCTCATCCAAAATTGCATACTTTTGTCTTTACAAAACTTGCACAAACACCACTCTGTGTGTGTGTGTGTGTGTGTGTGTGTGTTTCTTTTACTGAAAAGATTTCCATTGTCGAGGACAAAACCTCCCTGAAAATGTCCCTTTCTTTGGAGCGTCACCCTCCCTTACATAGAGCCTGGGTTATGGGAAACTGCTTAGTGAGCCCTTGCTAGTGAATCCAGAATGTCAGCATACAAATAGTATTGGTCACTTTCCCTTCATTTTCAACTTAAAAAGAATAATGCAACCCAAATTCTTTTCCATGACCCTTTGATACTCATTGTTTTTATATTTACTGGACACAATGAGGTCAGCAATCTTTGGAAAATTGCCTCAGAATTACGGAGACATCAACAAAGTTAAAATTCCAGGGCTTGGTAACGTCCGCCTCTTTTGATGGCACACAGAACTCGCCGATTCTTCTTCATTTAAAGCAAAGCATTCTTCCAGTTCATGCAATGAACTGAAAATTTATAGGTAGTGGGGCTTATGGAATGACTAAGGGAGCAGTGTGTTATTTGTTCTGGAAAACTGAGGAGCAGAAGGTTTTAAATCTGGCTCTCTGATTGGGAGCGGTGCTGGTACCCTATGCTCAGCTTCTAGCTCCAGGAAAGGCATGAGCTACGGCTGAAGAAAGCAAGGGAACATGTTCAGTAAGGGACACGTGCAGAACCGTGAAGAAGGGACCAAGGTGTCACAGGGTGGGCGGTGGCTGCACAATGGCCCATGTCCGCTCTAGTTCTTAGAGACTTTGTGCTTCCTTGGTCCACACCTGATAAGCAACCTTGATTGTGATTTGATTTTCACTAGTTTGCCTCTAGGGGAGATGTTTGCTGGCCAGAAGGCACAGGGGCTTGGTATTCCTTAGTCCCGGCGTAGTATCCTGCACACCAGTTACGAATATAGACTTAGAGCTCAGACCTGGATCCTTCTTCTGCCGCTGTTCGTTTTCCTTCATTTTACTAGCTGTGTGGCCTACAGCACGTGTCTTTCTACATCTGGGCCTGCAAACGGAGGCTCTGGAGAGTGCTTTCCGCAGCAGCCTGCTGGATTAGTTTCTTTTCTGCTGCTGTGGTAAGACACTGGTGGTGGAGAAGCGTGGCAGCAAGCAGCAGGCAGGGTAGGAGCAACAGAAAAGGGAGAGCTCACAGCTTCAAATGCAAGCGTGGAGCGGAGAGAATGAACCGGAAGTGTTATGAAGATTTTAAAGTCAAAGCTCACTCCTAGTGGCATACTTCCTCCAGGAAGGCTTAATCTCCTTAGCACCACCAACTGGGGACCAAGTATTCAAATGCCCAAGACCATGGGGGTACATTTCTCATTTAAACCACCAAAGACATGATGGTGAATAAGTGATAATGCACATAGAGTACCTAGAATATTCCTTACAGTGTGATAAATCTTTTATTGCTATCATTATGAATAAATCATTAGGAGCTTGGGGTTAAATATTTCCTTTTAAAATGATTTTATGTAAAAATGCCAAGTAAACCCAAAACAGAAGTATAAAGAATCTTTATGTATCCATCCACCATCTATAACAAGTCAACTAACAATGGCTTTTCTTTATGTTAACTTTCTACTCTACCCACAATGTCTTTCTTTAGGAAATGCCTACATAAATCCCTTTATCTGAGATGTGTATGCTCCTTGTGGGTGTGCATGCACATGTGTGCATGTGGGTGCACATACCTGTTTGTACATGAAGGCTGATCTTGATTTCCTCAGTTGCTCTTCATCTTATTTTTTTGAGGCAGGGTCTCTCACTGAACCCAGAGCTCACCAATCCAGGTAGACCAGCTGGACATTAAGCCCGTGGAATCGCCCTCTCTCCCTCTCCCAGTGTATGGATTACAGAGAGACATACACTGCTAGGTTCAGTTTTTACACTGGATCCAGGGCTAGAACTCTATCTCCAGGCTTGTGGAGTTAGCAGTTTACCAACTGAACCATCTCGCTGCCCCGTATGCTTCTTGATAAGAGAATGTTCTCCCTGTGAGATTGACTGACCCTAGATGTGAACCAAGGAGGATTCTGGATTATCTGGATTATCACAGCGAGTTTTCCTATGTTGATCTTTTAAAAAAAATGTGTTTCAAAGAATGCTTTCCATGGTGTATTAACAAATTTGATTTCAGAAGAGTAGAGTTCTCTTGTAGAGCAGATTCTCAGCCACTAGTAAATGAATACCTTTCCCCTTATTCTGGAAATGTCTTAAGTATCCACTGATGTTTTCACCTGTCCTGAGAGAAACAACACGTGGTTCTGAAACACATCTAACTCTGCAAGTACTTTCTCAGCCAGCATCTCAGGAAGCAAATGCTCAGTGGATCAGACTTTGGCCAGCACAAGACAAGCCAAATGCCACACTGTGGGAATTTTGCCCTTGTCTTGGCAGCCAGATGACTTTCTCTGGGCCACAAATTTCTATTTTATTTGAGTCTACAGAGTTGTTTGGAGCAACTGGAAGCCAGCATTATCCATTCTGGGATCACTGTCCTCATTAGGGAGAGAGGAGTGCTCACGAAGCCTGTGCTCTCCAGACTCTAAATAGCCCCAGAAGCAAGAGAAGAATGGGAGCATTGAAATAGGTATAGAAAATAGCAGTCACCACCATCCCTGAATTCTGTGTAACAACAGGTTACCCAGGATGAACGCAAGACTCTATCTGTTTATAACATAAGTGATCTATTAGCCTCACCTTGACTTAAAGAAGGGGAGAAGTAGTGAGTTCAGGTGACCTTGTGCAGTCAAAGTCCCCCTCTGAAGAGCTGTCAACAAGCATTTGGGTAGTCTATATGGTTATGGGATGATTTTTCAAGTGATTTTAAGGTTTCCTTGGTGAGGAGGAGGAAGTTGTGGTGAGGGGTGTGATTAAGATTACTGGTCCCTCCCAGATCTAGCTCTCTCTGGAAGCTTGGCACCTTGCCCATATTCACCATCTTGCAACCAAGTTGAGCCATTTGACTGTTTCTAGGCAGAAAAACACAAGTAGAAGGAGCATTAATTACTTCCAGGCTGAGTTAGCGAGGGGCTCAGACACGATTATCTAGGCTTCTGTCTTCTGGCCATGAGACCAGGGAGCTGTCTGCACATTTCAGTTGGAACAGATACAGGATGGAGGAGCATCTGTCCACCCAAGGTTCTGAATGGCTAGATGAAACAGGGCTGCTGATTGGCCTGTAAGTGCACAGAGAACATGACAGAGAATAAGTCTTTGCTGTATTGAGCTGCAGCATTTGGGATTCATTCATTACCCAGAGCATAGCTGGTACTCCCTGACTGACAGAGGAAGCAGGGCTTTTTA